TGGCTCTGGCTTTTTAAAGGCTTATTCGTATTTGTGCACATTGATGCCAATACAAATTTATGGTAATACGTAGGTCTTGGTCATCAAATACCACCTCTTTCAACACACCTCTCAGTTTGTCGTAAGTGACCAGGTCAACAGCCTTCTAGAAGTCGAAAAAAAAACACTTATATACTGGTTTTTCTCTATCCCTACATCCTTGAACCAGGATCTGCAAACTGAGACAGAAAATAGTGCTTTTCTGGTTCCAAGATTTTTTCTGAAACCAAACTGTGTTGTGCTTCGCTTAGTTACAGTTGTACTTCTATTTTGTTGTAAATTCTCGAGTGCAGTATTCTTAAGAACATTTTCAGTATATGGCTCATTAGACTGATAGTGCGATGATCGCTACATTGTTTAGCGTTTATTTTTTTGGTATCATTACAAATGTTGACAGTAGCTAGTTTGTTGGTACATAATATATTAGAAGAGAATATTTGCCTTTATCGTCGAGTAGTTTGATTATTTCGCTGGGAATTTTATCTGGACCGGTTGCTTTCCTATTCTTTGATAGTTGTATAGTTCTTTCCATTTCATCGAAGGTTTTGTTTAGACCAGTCCATATATTTTAGATTTGTATTTCTGTCCTTTCATCATCAAATAGTTCATCAATATATTCCCTTCCCCTCTCAAGTTTGCCTTGTTCATTGAATATGATATTTCCTTGTTTTTTAATTAGACTACTTGAAGTTGACCTATTTGGTCCAGTTATTTCTTGCACTTTTGTACATATTAAACGTGTCATTCTTTTTTGCACTTCTTCTATTTCAATAACTTTGCTGCTGTACTATTTTTCTTTTGCATCCCGAATTTTCCTTCTGATTTCTTTATTGATCTTGTTGTATTCCTCAGAGTTTTTATTTTTCTGTTCTCGTCTGCTTTCCATTCGTCTTAATATTTCATTAGTCATCCATTGTTGTTTGCGTTTATTAATAGTTTTATACTTTTTGGTTGTTTCTTGCATAATGGTTTTGATCTGATTTCAGTGGTCTTCAATGTTACATGTTTATTTCGATTTTTAGAACTTGATTTCTATTATCTCGAATACGGTCAGTATCATATTCGGTTAGTCGGTATTTGGCGTTTTACTATTTTAGGTTTGAGTTTGATATCGCTGATTAATAAATTATGATCTTGGGAGACATCTGCTCTAGGCAGTATTTTAGTTATCTTCATTGAATTTCGGTATCTTTCAGTAATTGTTACCTAATCGATGTGATCCAATTTCATTATCGTCATTCAGTACTATTCATTGACAAACCGTTGCCAATAATTTTCCCAGTGTCCTCATGCACATCATCCTTCTAAATTTTGGCTTACCTGCACATTTACTTCACCTTATTTATTAAGAATTCATCTGGGTGAGTTGTTCTGGACATTCTGATCGATTATGGTTTTTCTAATTGCGCTATTCAGCGATATATTTCTGCCCATCTCAGTGTGGCTTTTTTTATAATAGAAATTATGTCTTATTTTATCAATTATATTTCATAGATCTACCTTCTCCTCCATATAGGTATCATATTCACCGATGCCACCAAATATTCTTTTTCAGGGTGCTTCGCTAAAAGACGAGAAAAGGTTTTCATCCACTTTGGAGGTTGGCTAAGTTTCCGATACGTATATCAGCATTGATCAAACAAGGCTTTTTGTATATTTTTACATTTGTTATCTAGTTCAAATTTCTATCTTTTTAGTTGTTTACTCAACTTAAGTATTCCTTGCCTGCGATAATTATTCTACGTTTGATTTTTTCTGTAACATAGTTCTCGTTGGTCAAAAGGAGCCTAAGTATGTGAATTTGTTTACTATCTCAAAGCTCGAATTCTCAATTGTGAAATAATGACCAATATTTTTGGTCTGGTTGTTGGATGCTAATGCTACTATTTTCCTTGTTCCCCATTTATTTAAAGGTACACATTTTTTGAGACAGTTGAAAAAGTATTATACATCTCTTTTATTAAGTGTTTAAGTAAATTTACATAAAAACTGATCTTGTATTTAGCCACAACTAAATACTACACCCAATAGGTTAGTATTTCAATTTTTCTTCTTTTTACGCACGATGAATAATTTAATTACTGACAAGAGACGTTACTGTCATGATTGGATATAATTAGGGTGACCATAATTTTTCAACAAAAAAAAAGTACATTTATAATTTTTAAGAAAATATGTACACTGCTAATGCCCTAGGAAATTTTTCTGGTCAAAATTTTACGAATCTTTAATGAAACAATGATAAGAACGATTTTTTAATCAAACATAAGTACATAAAAAATGTATGATAAATTTTATTAGTTAATTTTCTTTCGACGTTCCTTTCTGAACATCTTGATCATCGTTTTGGTACCAGTCGTACTTTTTGGAACTATGAATTTCCTTCAGAAGTTGTGCATGATTGCTTCCAGAGTAGATATTTTCAACTGCGATTTGTTGGGACTCCAATTCTCTTCTTCCTATGCCGTCCCCATTAACGGAGGTTGGCGACCACATTTTTAAAAGCTTCTCTGTCTTTTGCAACGTGGAATAATTCGTCTACAGTCATGTTTGTCCAGTCTCGAATATTTCGCAGCCATGACTTCCTCTGTCTACCTATTTCTTTTTTGCCATCGACTCTACCCTGCATGATGACCTGCAGAAGACTATATTTATATTGACTCCAATGGGAGTCCAATAGTTATTGATATTTGAGAACAACCGCTCAATCGACGCCCTGGTCCCGGCAGACAAAAAACAAACTCACATATAATTTTGAGATTTTTCAAAGCCCTTTCTTTTTGGAAGATTTCGTGCCATTGATCTTCGGTAGAAATATTGTTCGAATTCCAGTCTGTGATTTTATTTTCTGTAACGTAGGTTCAGGAATGTAGGAAAGCTTCACACGACGATAAAATTTCTGCCCAAGAAACTTGTTAACTCATCCAAATAGCTTTAGTTCACTTAAATTTTTATTCCAGTTTTTCAAATATGTTACATAATTTGAATAGAACTGCTTGACATGCGTGATAAAGATATCCCGATAGTTCACACTACGGTCAAGGTATTCCATAGTTTCAAGTTTTGTAAGGGACTCTCTTACTTTAAGCAGTAAAAATAACTTATTTAAGCGATTTTGAAGCTTATTTATGAGTTTGAAATACGCCAAAGCGGCTTCCGTGCGCATATTTTGTCACCTTCTACATCTAAAATCACTTTGTGGAAGAGAGACGCAATGTTATGCACAAACCACATCCATGTTTCACTGATTGGGTTTTGAAACAAAACTGTTTTAGAGAATTGGTGGACAATTATCAATAGACAAAAAATATGCTTTCAAGGGTTCGAACATTTGTATAATTGGTTCAATGGCTGGCATAGGCTCAAAAATCTTGTTTTTGAAAACGACAACATTTTTTGTACTCGATATCAACAAAATCGCAAAACTGTTTTAATTTCTCCACTCTGACTGTAAAAATATAGAAATACTTAAACATCTAGGACCGTAATAACCTCGATGTCTATGGGTAAGACGACCGTCGCATTTTGTAAACAGTTAAAAATGTGTGCCACACAACCAATTCCAATCACGGGATTTCCACGAGAAGCGTTTAATTTGCTGAATAGATTATTCACTCCTTTTTTTCTCATTCCACCAAAATTTGTATTTGTATTATCAGCAGACATTTCGATACATTTTTGTAGTAAATTATGGTAAATCAAAACATTGACCACGTAATCTTTTAACTGCTCTGATGTTTCACAATGTAAGTCACGTGGCTGAAGTAATTTTACTTGGACACCATTTTCTCCATCAAAATATCTTACCATTAAGGGCACAACTTTAATTTCTCTATGATTTGACGAATCGATTGTGATTCTGACGAAATTTTCTTTTCGAAGGTCAATTTCTAATTGGGATTGAGCCTCTTGAGCTAAAACATTTTTTACAATCGCCTCAGTCTTGGTTCGAGCTGCCGCAAATTTAGGTTCAAACATGCTTATAATTAGTTTTGACGTGCAGTCTAAGGATCTGAAACTCTGCAAATGCTTAATTTTATGGTAAGCAAAAGTACCTTCCTTGGCAGCAATCCACATATTTTCAGAACTTAAATTTTCTTTTTTAACAAAGGTTTCCAATTTGCTGCTCTTTGAGTTCGCATTAGTAGCCAACATGTGTTTTTTCTTTGACAAATGTTGTTTGATATTACTGCGACCACCGTTAGAAATATCAACATCACTTTTACAAACTTCGCAAAACACAATATGCGGTGAAACATTTGATTTTTGTTTCATAAAAGGATACTCTGCCTGCAACTCGGCGTTAAAATGGCATTTTCTTCTAGGCGGTGACGTGACGAAATTGTTCATTTTTCCACACAGCACAAAATAATATAAAAAAAGCGAAAACGTGTCGGAATTTAAGACAAAAGGTTAATAGACTAATCAACAGTGAGCACATCAATTCGAATCATAATTATATTTTGTTTGGACAAAAAGTAGGACTTAATTTTGTGTAATTAAGAAAAAGAGTACATTTAGGTGTACTTCATGAATTTTAAAGTACAATAGGACAGCGTTTGAAAAGAAAGTACTGTCCTACTAAAAAAAGTACATATGGTCACCCTAGATATAATGGAATGTGTGGTATTCGTAAAAATCAATCACATGTTATCATCATGTATCCGCCAAAGATTCGAGAAAATGAAATTTTTTGCTTTTTCTCACGCTTTTGGAATATCATCTTCTAATATTCATTTAAGACATACGAAAAAGCATCACATACGACAGTATGCCAACAAAATAAAAATAATCAGATAGTAGAATAAAATACGCTAATCATTTGACACAATGCCAAAAATATTTACTACAACCTTTGCCAAACCAGAAATGATATCAAATTGTTTTCTACTTGCTCCAAATACCTTCCATCAAATAGTTATTGTCTCTCTGAGTAGAAAGGCCGTCGGTTCGGTCGAGCTTTAAAGTGAAATCGCTAGATGGGGCTTCGCCGTTGTAGAGGCTATTTCGGAGAGACGGATATCGATGGGCCTTCTGTCGTCGTACAAAGTCGGTGCTTGAAGTATGATACCAGCTGTACCTACCAATACTGCTAGGGTAAAAATCCACAGAAAGAGACGGTCAAGGACCATGGCGACGTACTTCCAGTCTTCCTTGACCTATAAAATAAAATCAAAAATATAATATATAATCACATGATGTTAAAAATTATATTATAAATAAAACAAACATAAAAAATTCAGGATATATAAAATAATGAAAGAAAATTCCTCAAAAGGATCTTCGAACCCTATCACAACCCGAATACCAACCAATACCGAATGAAAAATGTGGAGATCAAACAGATATATAAAGGTAGAGATGTCCAAGAAATTAAATCCCAACGTCTAAGATGGGCTGGTCATGTCCTAATAACCACCTTGTCAAGTTAATATGGGGGATAGATCTTTAACCACAAATGCGGTGGAGGGATAAAATATGGTCAGATTTAAGAACACTTTGGCTACACACTGACTCAACTATCATGGACGACCGTTTGATATGGAATCAAGTTAAGCAGTCAGACAAGACCTCCCCAGGTTGTAGTGCTACAAGATTAAGAAGATGTTAAACATGAATATAATCTATTATATTTCAAAAGGAACCGAAAATTTTTATAAATCAATTAGGAGTAACGATGAACATAAGCAAAGCATAAAAATGATGTATATGATGTATAGGGAAGAGTTACCTAAGACGGGACGGTTCCCAAGTAGGGACACTAGCAATTCTAGAAAATCTGTAACAAGTGGCAACACCTGCACTGGAAGAATGAAAGCTCGCCATTCAGTCGTATTGTCACGTAAACGACACGAGGCTAGCATACCGGTAGCGTTCGTCAGAACAAGTTGTTAATGTTTACATATTTTTTTAAATTTATTTACGTACAACATTATAGTGAATATAGCGTTAATGGTAAGTATCTGTGAAACTTAACGTTATTAGTCAATAACAGAGTTTATAGTCATTGCATTTCACTGTAAAGTATTTGCCACTAAAGCTTTTGTTTAATATCGGTTAAGATTTTTACAAAATGGGTGCAAATCTCTTAAGATGGGACAAAGTTAAACTTCCTAAGTCGGGACGTCCCATCTTAGGAACTAAAATATGGCTACATATATTCTTCTTATACCTGCCTACTTTTAACTAATTCAATCATTAATTACTCATAAATTCTTACATATAACGGTAATTCATTCTAAAAACATTTATAAGTAGGGTTCAGTAATTAGATTATATCCAAGGAGGTCATAATATTCTAATCTTGATTATAGCTAAGTAAAGATAATGTGTCATTAAAAAATGTTTTATTCAGTGAACTCTATATCTCGTAAGTGGCACTGATATATTTTTCTTTTACAGATGCCAAATAGAAATCCAAATTCCTATTACAAAAGAAAAACTGATCGTGGAAACTGGTCCGTTCAAAATATGATTCTAGCTGTACAAAAACTTCGGAATAACGAACTATCACTTCGAGAAGCTGCTGACAGATATAATATTCCTAAAAGTACTCTTCAAAGACGAGTTACAAACAAAAATAAACTCGTGACCGAAAATGACAAATATCTTGGTCGGTTTAGGCAAATATTCTCAGTTGAACAGGAACACAAAATTTTAGATCATATTCTTGAAATGGAAAAGCGATTTTTTGGAATCACTTATAAAGAACTTCGTTGTCTGGCATTTGACTTTGCCCAAGCCAATAATATTGCTAACAATTTTAATAAAGATACTCGAATGGCCTCTAAAAAGTGGGTTTATGGGTTTTTGAGTCGACATAGAAATATTTCTCTGAGAAAACCAGAAGCAACCTCATACGCTAGAGCTACAGGATTCAACAAGAATGCAGTCCAAAGTTTTTTCAACAACCTGGAAAGTATTTATAATAAACATCACCTCACTCCAGATAGAATCTGGAATATTGATGAGACCGGAGTGACCACCGTCCAAAAATTATCTAAAGTTCTTGCTCAGAGGGGTAAAAAGCAAGTGGGAGGTTTAACAAGTGCCGAAAGAGGAGTTAATGTCACTATAGTAGCTGCTATGAGTGCAAGTGGCAATTTTCTTGCGCCTGCTTTTATATTTCCCAGAAAGAAAATAAAACCAGAGCTGATGGACAATGCACCTAACGGTAGTCCGGCATTTCCACAGGACAAAGGATGGATGGATCGTGATGTTTTTTTAAAATTCATAAAATATTTTGCACAACAAACCAGACCTTCGAAGGAGTGCAAAATTCTTATTATTTTGGACGGCCATTGTTCACATACAAAAAGTTTAGACGTTATAAACTTCTGTCGCGAGAATGGTATTATTTTATTATGCCTGCCACCACACTGTACGCATAAAATGCAACCCCTAGATGTTTCGTATTTTAAATCATTTATGAGTTATTATGATTTGTACCTTACTAAATGGCTAAAAAATCATTGTGGTCGTACATTTGGAATATATCAAATCTCAGGGGCTGTTGCAGAAGCATTCTCAAAGGCATCTTCTGTACAGATAGCGACAAATGGATTCCGAGTAACCGGAATTTGGCCTTTTAACGAAGACGTATTTCAAGACTGCGAATTCGCTCCCTCTAAAACGACGGAACAATCAGTGGACAATGAAACTACATCACAGGTCAATAAATTACCCGTAATGATGGCTCATACCGAAGGCGTAAATCAAGTTGAAATGTATGATAATCCGATTCCTTCAACCTCAAAACAGTCTGTTTTAAGGTCACCTAAAGATGGCGATTCCGAAGATAACAGACCGATACAGAGAAGCCAAATCATTCCTATCCAATTTCCGACATCTAGGGTAAAAGTGACCGATATTAGTCCGCTACCAAAGGTACAGAAAAAGAAAGGTAAGACTTCTTCTAGACATTCTCTGAAATCCACGATACTCACAGAATCGCCGTATAAAAATGAATTAGAGACGTTGCAATCCACAATCCCCGCTAACAAGGTTAAATCTGTGAAACGAACTGTAGTTCTGAACCACAGCGCTCGAAATGCAAATATTAGCAATATCACAGTCGTCACTTCAACTAAAGATGATTCAAACTGCATTGTATGTGGAAAGAAGTACGCAGAGAGTAGTGAAGTAGTCCAAAATTTAAAATTCAATCATGAGATATCAATTTTTTAAACCGTATACGAGGTTTGTCAAACAATATCAATTTTATTCAAGAGTTAAGTGCTACTCTTTTTTACAATACAGAAGAATGTTTTAAAGTTAAGTTATTTTAAAATGAAAAAGACAGTAAAGATTAGATTTCACATACAAAGCGTCTATGTATCTGTTTATACGCATTTCGGCCTAATAGGCCTCATCAGAACAGCTATTCATAGGCGTTCTCAACGTGAAAAATAAATATTTTCTGTCTTTAAGAAGCAACATTAAAATGGCTTCGATATGGACGCAATAGCGACATCTGATAATAAATCCGTAAGTTATTTAATCCGTAAATAGTAAAGTTATTTTAATTCATAATTTATATTAAAATATGCAATTACAGTAATTAAGCAAAAAATTAAAGTTTGGTGGTTATTTACTGATCATTCCATATTAATTAATCTGGTTTGATACCATTTAACCTAATCTGGGATGTAGTGACATAAAATATTTGACAATGAATGTCAGAGTGCATGGTATAGCTAATAGCCACTATTAGATAGTTAAAAATTTTATCAATATTTTAACTTTTGGCGTCTTTGGTAAGCTTGTAGAAGATTTTATAGTGTTTTTGTGAAAGTTAAGTTGATTTGTAGGCATTTTAGTGAGAAAAAATTATTATTAAGAATATTTTCAATTCCTTATGCGAGTTTTTTTAGTGATAGTGGCTTTGTAGGTGTAGGTAAACCTACTTTATATGGACATTTTGGTCTTTTAGAAGTTGTAAATAAGGTATGTTTAATTATTATTGAGTGAGATAATCAGACAAGAGGTGCCGATAAATCTGTTAGCTTAAAAGTCAGGAAAGGATTTCCAAAAGGGAGTCAAAGGGGATTGCGGGACAGATAATTACACAATCTAGGTAAACCTTATTTTATCCTACATCTTTTGGTAACAACATAAGTATTATGACATAAAAGTAATATATTAACATTTATTTTTTAAATCTATCGCTGGAGAACCAGGTGTGGACTCAATGTGTCAAGAACTCAAAACTGATATACCTGAAACTATAAAATCAGTCGGGTATGTAAAATGTTCTATAATATGCTGTGATCAGTAGTCCGAATGAAAACATAATAGTCTTTATGCAATATGTATAGTAGATTAAAAATATGATTTTTGTTTTTAGAATAAATACAGATATGGAACACGCCCAAGATCTTGAACTTCAAAAGTTACGTGTCCAGAACAAAGCCTTACTTCAGCAGGTTAATGAATTAACAAAAATGAAGTCAGGAGTAGGTAAGATATTTACCAAAGACAGCTAAAAAGACTGCAAATGCGCACAGTGAGGGAAAAATTATTCTATCTATACAGCCCTTAAAACCCATCCTTGGATATAGGCCTCCTCCTCCTTCTTCCATGCCTCTCTATCTTGGGCAATTTGCATCCATTTTGACCCGGCGTGTTTCTTCAGGTCATCTGACCATCGCATTTGTGGCCTTCCCCTTTTACGTTTGTGATTCCATGGTCTCCAATGTATAATTTTTTTAGTCCATCTTTCATCTTTCTGTCTTAGGGTGTGTCCGGCGAACTTCCATTTAAGCTCTGCTACTTGGGTTGAGACATCTTTCACTTTTGTTTTATTACGGATCCATTCGTTTCTTTTTTTGTCTGATAGTTTAATGTTCAGCATTTGTCTTTCCATGGATCTTTCTGTCTTTGCTATTTTTTCCATATTTTCCTTTGTAAACGTCCATGTCTGAGAGCCATATGTGAGGACAGGGAGTATACATTGATTGAAGACTCTCGTTTTTAAGTATTTAAGGGAAAAATTATTACCAAATACTAATTCACTTATCGGAAAAAATATTGAATGTGACTACAAAATCAAACATCTGTTCTTCCGATCTGGAATGTACTTCAGAATTAAGAAATTAAACCTAAACAACTCAAAGAAGATATAAAAAATAAAAGAAAATTAATAAAAATTGTAACTTAA